AACCGTGGCCTCAGCCTATACCGGTCATGGCTCTCTTGGCCGCAAGTCCATCAGCAGCCTGTGAAAGATACAGGAGCACCTGGTGCCTGTTTTGCACCAAAATGTAATGATGGCTCAAGAGTTGTTCACCACCTAGTAACGTTTTGGTGTCGTGCACCTGCCAGCATGCAGTGGCACTGGATGAATCACAGAATCACAGAATCGCTCGGTTGGAAAAGACCTCTGAGATCATCACGTCCAACCGCTCCTGTCTACCCACTAAACCATACTTAAGTACCTCGTCTACCCGCTCCTTAAATACATCCAGGGATGGTGACTCCACCACCTCCCTGGGCAGCCTGTTCCAGCTTCTGACGACCCTCTCAGTAAAGAACTTCCTCCTTATCTCTAACCTGAACCTCCCTTGGCACAGCTTGGTGCCGTTTCCCCTTGTTCTATCCCCCATCACCTGGGAGAAGAGACCAGCACCCACCTCTCTACAACCTCCCTTGAGGTAGTTGTAGGTGATGATGAGGTCTCCCCTCAGCCTTCTCTCCTCCAGGTTAAACAGCCCCAGTTCCCTCAGCCGCTCCTCATCAGGCTTGTTCTCCAGAGCCCTCCCCATCCTTGTGGCTCTTCTCTGAACATGCTCCAGAGTCTCAACATCCTTCTTACAGTGAGTGAATGTGCCAATACGGCCAACGGAGTAGTCAACTGAGCAATGTTGTCACAGCAGAACTGCATCCTTTGAGTGTTACGGTACAAGGGTGTTACAGAGGGTGATGAGTTACTTGTTAGTCACCGAGAGATATGCACATGTAGAGTAAGGAAGAGAGAAATTTGTCCTCAGAATCTTAACAGAAAAATACATTTTAAGCCCCGTACCAAAAGGAGGAACACAGAATTTTTTTCTTCTGTAACTCCAAGGGATCGAGGTGGCTTGGAATAGCCAGGAGGTCTTGTCTCCCATGGTCCTAAAGAGAAGACAGTGAAGGACTCTGGTGCAAGGCTGCTCTCTTGGCCACTGGGCTGTCTGTGTATGTGGTACAGCACAGAGAACTGCTTGAAGCCATCTGTGTAGCTAATCCTGGCTATTCTGGTCCCAGTGCCTAATATTAGGAGTGGCTGTAGGAGATGTCAGGGAGCAGCAAGTTGCAGAGGGAGCACATTACATCTGTAGTTTGCCTGTGGCTTTCAGGGCAGACAGTGCTATTGTGTACTAACATTTGCTGCACGGAGAAAACAAGTGGAGAGCACATCACAGGGAAGGTGGTTTTGTTCAGTTTCTCAGGATCAGGCACTGTCACCTAATCTTGTACAAGTTTGTGCCTGTGTCATGTCTTTGCGTCATACTAATGAATCCTGAGTGTTGGGTGACTCCAGGATTTGTATTTGGAATAGGAAGTGGAAATCAATTTTTTACCAAAATGCTCCCAGCTTTAAGAGTGTCAGACAAAGCTCTGGAGAGACAGGAGGTGTGCTATTTTCAGCCACACTCCAGTGAGAGGTCCATGGTGTATGGGGGGGCGCACAGCGGGTGAGATTGACATGACACGTGTGTAGGACAACTCTGGCCCCTTACCAAGAGCAGAATCAAATGTCTAATAGGCAGAGCAGCAGCTGAGAGTCCAGAAGAGCAGGAAAAGCTGGGCTTGACGGTCTCAACTCTCCTCTTGTGTGTGTGTGAACTTGAAGGAGAAAGTGAGCAGAGGGCCTTTTGGAGGACTGGAGAATCATGGTGTGAATTGTGAAGATGAGAGTAGAAGATACTGCCTGTTAAGAGCTGGAGTCTGTTTTGAAGTTGGGAAGACAAAGTATCCAAAGCACAGCAATCATGGGAGCTGAAGAAGAAATGCTCATCACTCTGTCTGGAGGTGCCCCCTGGGGCTTCCGGCTGCAAGGGGGTTCAGAGCAGAAAAGACCCCTTCAAGTGTCAAAGGTAGGACCTCGAGATGTGAACTGTGAGGGCAGCATTGTTCTGCTGAACTCAGATATCCCTACTGAGTCGGGCATCCTTCACTACTGTTAAGGAATGCAGGAACTCCTTACTGCAGCAGCAGATCCTAAAAGGAAAACTTGTGTGTCACGGTCAGGCAGGGTGTGGGGTGGGATACGGGTCCTGAAATAGATGCTATTGAGGTAGAGACGAGTGTCAGGTGGAGACCTACTTCAGTGCAGGTCTGTACAGCTCAGACACTGACAGTGCAGGAAGAAGGACTCAAATATGGAAGGTTCAGTACGTGTGTAAGACATCCAACTAAAGAAAAAATAATTTAAATCAAAGCAACAAAAGCCATATTTGTAATTCAATTTAACTGTTCCTAAGACTTCATTACTATATTCCAGCTTCAAAATAGATGCATGCTTCTTAGGGTCCCTTCCGTTGGTGAAAGTTTCTCAATACTGTCCGAAGTGAGTATTTTTTATGCTCTAAGCAGCAAATACTGGTTCCATTTCAAGAATTAAAGAAAAGCGGTTGTTGGATGGAAGATGAAATAATAAGGAATAAACATGAACCTTGAGTTGCACCACTTTTCATAAACAGCTCTTACTGTTCTCTTTTCATAAACACTGCTGAGTAGCTTAAAAATTAGGAGGAAAAAGGTCCTCTGTTTGTTAAGCTCACAACAGCTGCGTTAGCCTTGACACAATGATATCTTGGGCTATCTCACTGGAAGGCACCCAGCAGC